CCCCCAGCACAGGTACAGGCGAGGTGGAGATGCCACGGAAGCCAGCAGGAGACAGGCAGCATGAAGCCCGCTGTGCCACCATGTCCAAGCTGGCGCTAAACCGAAAGCAGGTCCTGTCTTCTGGAATTGCAGGCTGCTGTGCCGGAGATGAGCAAGGACAGCTCTGGCACAGCCAGCATGCCGGCTCGTTTGCCTTTTATTAGATGGTAAATTTGCTCCATGCTGGAAATAAAATGCAGTTCCTGGGGCACGCATATATTGCTATATACATACACATACACACACACACACACATATATATATATATTTGTTTTGTTTTTTTCCCCACATACATTGGATTTTTTCCCCTTTTTTGGTGGAAGCCAGTGGAGTGATGACAATCTGGATTGCCGTGTTTCGCTTCCAAACCGAAGCTCTCAGTTAACACACCAGCTCAGTACGCCAGCAGATGCCGTCTAAGCCTTTAAATCGCACACTAATTGCACTAATTGAGCTAACAGTCTCTGTTTCGTCTCCCTACCCTGAGTCAACCAGCGTCTTCTGGTACTGCTGTAGAGATCCAAGCTGTTGACTGTAGTGTTATTTTGTCAGCCATTAAACGATTCATCAGAGTCATTAATTGATTTATTACCGCTGCCTACGAGTATAGCTTTGCAAATAAAGAAGGATGGAGGTCAGGAGGCAATGGAAATCGGACAAACCAGCACAGCCAGGAGCTGGGCACTTGAATTATCAGTAGGAGCCTGCTTGTGCAGGATCAGTAGCATCAGATTATGGGGAAAAAAAACAGGGGGAAAAAAAAGAAAAAGAAAAGATGTGCTGCTTGGCTGTGCCGCCAAACCAGTTAGGTTTTTCAGCCAAAATCTATGTAGGATGTAAAAGGGCTATTAAAACCATATTGTTTTCTTAACCTAACCCTTAGGAAGAAACCAGGTTATTCCGCTGTATTAATTGCGTTAAAGAGCAGCAGGGAAGGGGCACTGCCGCAGCTGCACCGAGCAGCTCCCTGGCCCCCAGAGCAGCCTGAGCTGCCCTTGCCAGCATTTTGGTGTCACACGAATTTTGCTTGCCCAGGCTGGCTGAGCTGGGAACACAACTCACCTCCGCTCGTCCCACAGCCCTGGGAGGAGCTGCAGGCTGGTGTTTTTAGTTATTTACTTTCTTTAACGCAGAGTTTAGGTCTTTGCTAGGCATGAAGGTTTGCTGAGAGCAGGGTGCGGCGAGCCGTTTCCTGCCCCCCGCCCTGCGGCAGACTTGAACTGAGAGGAGCTGTGAGGCACCACTGAGGCCGAGAGGGTTTCAGGGGCTGAATTTAAAAACCAGAGCAGCCAATGCAGAGCTGGTGGGCTTGTATTGCCAACAGCACGCCGCTGCTCCCAGCCCCAGGGTACTGCTGGTAACAAAAGACAGCACCCAACAAGTGAAGGTTTGGGAAACTGGGGAGTTTTTTGCATGCGCTGACCGCACAGCAACCCTCGGGATGCTGCAGAGGGATTCTTACTCCTTATCCTCATTGCTGGACAAACCTGAGCCGCCTCCAAGAGCATCTTGACAGTGGGCTAAGGTGCTGCACCCTGATGCATCCCATCTTGCAAGGCTCCCAGCGTCACGGCGAGACGATACCCTGCAGGGTGGCAGGCCATCAGCCAAGCCTCGGCTTGCCACCCGCCCAAACCTGCCAACTTCACCACACAAGTGATGGTTTCTATTAACTGTGAAAACCAGGTTCCCATCAGCAGTATTCACTCTGCTGTCAAATGCGAGCCGATGTCCTACTGCTCTGGGTGAGCAGCTTCGGGTTGCACAGGCAGCTGCGCAGCCCGACCCAGCATCCCGCGGCTGGCTTTCACCAAACACTTTAATAAAAATAACCTCCGAACAGTGGTGCAAGGTACTGGCAGGCAGCAGAGAGGATGCTCCCTTCGTGGGAAGCACCACCAGCACCAAGCTGCTCTGCCAGCCCCAGCCTCCAACAACCCATCCGCGATTCGGGGAAAGCAAAAAATATCTTCATGGCACAAACCTGAAACCAAACTAAGGATGGCTGGACGTCTGCATTTTTGGCTCAAGAT